CAACCCTAGCACGGAATTGCAAAAATCAAGTAATGCTCAGTAACGTACGGTATGAATTGCACAATATGCGACAAAAAGCCTCTGTCGGAGAATATGCAAGGAAAATACTAGCAAAAACAAATGTAGCATTTCAAGGCAAAGATAAATCTGTTAACAAACTTGCAATTGACCTTTTCATCAAAGGATTGCGGCCCGACATCCAAAAATCAATCCGTCGTTTGCCAGACCCCGGCGATTTTGAAACAGCTGTTGCAAATGCGGAAAAAGAACAGCGCATTCTCGAGCAAGAACATCGCGAAGAAAGAGATATCCTCGAAAACATCAATGCACTCGTACTAGACGACAAAGTGGTACAACTGCAAAAGAAAGTGGGATCACAACGCACTAACCGTGGAAGAAATTACTCCGACCGTCCTCAGCAATCTAGGCAATCGGCAAACAATTTCAACGCAAATCGAAGAGAAAATCTCGCTTACCGTCAAATCCTAATCGTAGGAACTTCCCAAACAAACGGTTCTCAACAATCCGTTCCGGACATTTTGGAACCGAAGAAATCAATTCAATCCATTTCGACCATACAACCCAAATTACGGTTATCCACCACAGACGCCGTCATATCAAGAACCGATACCGGTCAATCAAAGATTTCGCAACCTGCTTTTCAAGCTCCAATCCAAGCTCCGGGAAACCAATACAACCAGCTGTCGGGATTCCCTTCAACAGCTCAAATCAACTTCCTTTGTATCCTAGCATGCATCAGACTCACAGTATTAGTACAACCAGTGTTCGCGCATTAATTTCAGATGTCTGAATCAGCACTTATTCAAATGTGCACTCACTCCCTCAATTGGATGTCACGATCCTGTGGCCAGCAAAATACAAGACAGAACAAAGGAGGAATATATTAATAACAAGCAGAAGCAACTAAAAGCGTATGTAAGGTAAATGTGAGAGATATGAGCTCACATCCCGAGTCGAGCGGAGGGGTTGATCTGACCAGTGGTCTGGCGAAGCATACGTCCTCCGGAGTTGGTGATTTATTGGCCGCGGCTGCCGCGAGAGGTCACGATGGTTTCGCCATGCAACCGCTTTTGATACACATAGATCAGCGACTGCCTTCAATTAGGGAAGCTACACCTTGAAATTTCTAGTAAGGCTGAACTCTGATAAGAAATTTTTACCGCTTCTGCAGCTTATAAAAGAAAAAGAAGCCTTGCCATGCCATGTCAGATTTCACAGAAATCAAGATATACGCCAAATGGACATTAAATGGCTCGCTATGGACACAGTCTTATGCTTTACATGGTCAGACTCCACTAATGCGAATTTTCACGACCTTCCCAAAACCATCATGCGC